CCCTGCGCGCAGCGTTTCTGCTCGCTGCGCCCCAGGAGCAGCCCCAGGCCATCAACGCAGCGTGCCGGAGGGCGATTTACTGAAGGTGGAGGTGAACATGGATGTCCCGGGGAGGGCAGCGTCCCTTCACACTGCCCCCCGTCAGCTCTCAGTGCCCGCCTGAGCCGAGGGCAGGGGGCCGGTGTGCGCGCACACGCGTGCGTGCTTGGGAAAACACCAGTGAACCCGCAACGAGCTGGCCAAAGGAGTTTCACGGTTCGTTGCTGCTTCATCTCTAGAAATTTTTCCAAGTCTGAGTAACAAAAGCTCCCTGCTGCCTGGGAGAAGACGGGCTGGGTAATGAAATCCTGCTCTCCAGCAGCTCCTTTGAGCTGCTCATCAGCAATGTGCTGTCTTCAGCGCCAGTTGCTGCTTTCCTCTGTTGTTAACTAGATTAAGGCCTTTCGAAGCTGGCAGGTAGAAAGTTGAACGTACCGCAGAGTTCACCAGCGATTCAGCCTCACTCCAAACTCAAGTAGACTTGACTTCTCTACTCCTCATTAGCGAAAGCGCTTGCGGTGGGAGGTTGGTGTCCCTATGTAAAGCCTGGAGCCAATTTGCACACGCGTGTGCTACTGGCTGTGCTCATTGCCACCGACCACTGCTAGCGAATGCGTGGTTGTCACTGCTGCCACCAAGTCACCAGCACGCAGGCTGCCCCGTGCAGTCCCACGGCTCCGTCAAAGCTGATGGTGAGGCCCCGAGTGGGCTCCGAGCACGGCGCTGGGTGACACCCCATCCCTTGGGAGCGGTGGGCCTGCTCCGTGAAATGTTTGCCTTGCAAAGCCCCCTGGAAGGGAGAAAAAACCCCAACCAACACCACCCTTTTCCAAGCGGAGAAGCAGCCTTTGAAGGGTGGCTCGTTTAAAAATAATGCTGTATACAGCTCAGCTTCCCGATCAAAGTCTGTGGCTCTGGAAAAACTGTTTTTTTTTTTTCTTTCCACAAGAGAACCTCACATGCAGCTGCACTAGCTAGTAAGCTCTTCTGCTAGTAGAGTGTGTGTGGGGGTTTGTCATTTTTTTTAACACCTCTCTGAAGCTTTAACAACTAGTGCAGACAACAGACAGTTTATGAAGCTGTCCCTGGGGAGGGGATGAAGCACACACTATGCAGTCATGGTGAAGAGAAAACAGTCTTAACCCCCCCCCCCAAAAAAAAAAACAAAAAAAACAAAAACAACAAAAAAAAATTCAAAAACACCAAAAACAACAAAACAACCAAAAAATATTCTAAATCCACCAGATGACAGAGTTGCTGGAGCCAGCCGTTCTTCTCCAGCACGTCGGCCCTGGGGCAAGGTTACTGCCACAGCTGCCGTTTCCAGAAGGTCTGATTTATCCTCCATCCCTTGCACTCTTCATGTCCCAGCATGTCTCTCAGTGCACTTAAGTATTTTAACGTCAGATGGCTTCTGACTGTAAGAAGGTAAACGGGACCAACGGATAGAGTGACGAGCTGGGACAGCTCTGCGGTTTGTTTACGCGGGCCAGGCCACGAGAACAGCAGAGGTGACTCAGACTCAAAGGCTTGCATGAGCTAAAGGCGTTCCCCAAGCGCCCTGTTCCTGCTCTTCTGGGAACAAGAGGAAAGCAGAGGGCTCTCACGCCTGCTTTTACCGAATTATGTCTCCTCCTGGCCTTGCATGGTCCAACATAACGACCGTCACCCCCTCCTGATCCCCCCTCCAGCCCCTGCGGACCGCCACCACGTCTGCCCACAACTGGCTGCCATATCCCACTATAAATTTCTGTCTAAATCAACCATTTTGACTGCAGTTATGCAAAATATCACTCAGGAAAATGGCCCCAGTGTGCTCACAGCCGGGCCAGGCTGTTCTGACTCCATAGATTATTGATCTAGCTTAATGCCAGGGAAGGACACCTACATCTCTCACTCCAACTGCTCACGGCTCTTGCAAATGCAATTTTCAAGAAAAACAGGCATTTTTTTTGTGCACCGCTTCCATTTCACTCCATAGCTATGAAAGTCATGATGAAAGTTATGATGAAAGTCATCAAAAGCAAAGCATTAGGGAGGCAGCAAGAGATCCAGCTATTTTCTACCTGAAAGCGCCATAATTGCAGTAGCTAGAGGAGAGGCAGGAGCAACTCTGGAGCAAACACAAGAGGTGCCAGGCAGCCCAGAAGACCAGGGGAGGAATTATAGTGTGCTTGTAAGGATCTGATTGTGGAACAGGATTGTGCAAACATAAGGGGTGTTTGGCTAAGGACAGCTTCATTGTGAGCGTAACTCTCCTTGTTTCCTTTGGGAAAGTCCAGCACTCAAGCTAAGGCATGAATCCTACTAAAGGCCTTCAGTTTTCACTGCTTTTACCCCAGCTGCTCTCTTCCAAGTTGCTTAGCGTCACGTTCAGATAACTGCCCTTTGGTACGCACATACCAGCAGTTTTCTCAGAAGCTCGTACGCTTCCGAGTGCAGTACGTAGAGCAGGACTGCTGTGAGGGAGACTGTCACAAAGACGTTTCCACCTCTGAGCAGTCAAGCTGAGCTGTTCCAACCCACCGACCTCTCTGTTTGCACACAGAGATGAAGAGGACGGGACCTCGGCTTTCACAGCCTACTTCTCGCTCATGCCTGGCTCCCTGGTCCACACCACCCATAAACACGCCCACGTAAGCTTTCTTAAATCCAATGCAACTTCCAACAACCACCGACTGCAAAGGATGGCGGAGTTCTCCAGCTTCTGCACAAAGCGGTTTGGCTGAACTGGGGTATCCTGCCCGCCCTGGATTCACGCTCTTCAGGACACTGCTGCAGAAAAGCTGAATGACCTGCACTGTCAAGCGCCGGTGCAGGAGCAATGGCCTTTGAGCAGAACAGCCAACTGCAGCTCCTCTGAACTCACTCAGAACAAGAGTTTTCCATCACCATCTCTGCATTTGTAGGAGGCTGGCTTGCACTTCTCCTGGACGGCGGTTTGAGGAAGGGGCTGGCTGGGTAGAGCAGAAATTGCTTAAAGGAAAGGGAACAATTATGAATGGCACAAGCCGAGATAGAAAAAATGCATTCAGAATGTCTTTAATCATGTAACACTAAAACTTCTTTACAGTGTCATGGCAATCTACACTTCACCATCTGCTTGATTTTTGTTCTGCCCCCATTTCTCAAATACAGAATAAAAATGACATTTTAAAACAGAACACATGGCTGTTTCTACAAGACTTCAGTGCTTCAAGTGAGTATTTTTTGCCTGTTAAGTCTTGTATAAACTTCTTAGATCACCAGAATTCTTTCTTTCCATAAGAATTTTAAAAGATAAAGCTCTCTCCTCCCTACCCTCAGACCTTCGTTACATTACTAGGTGTGCCTTCTGGTTTAGGATGGCAGCCTTCCTTCCAGGCTCAGTATGCACCCGAGAAATGGAAAGTTGGGGGGGGAGGGGGGGGGGAAGATATAATGAGTTATTTTAGGAGTATCTGAGTGTATTAAAGTTGAGAGGTTAGCTAGAAAGATTATATTTGGGGCAGAAGGATGCATCAAGCATCCATCAGGGCTTTGGAAGATACTCTGCACTACATTACACACGGAGGGATTTCGTTATGGACCATCAAAGAAACTGTTGCTACGAAAGACAGAAGAGACGATCTTTCCAGTGGAATTAATAGTGCCTTCGCTATCCGAGCTGGACTCCGAATCACTGCTTCCCGAGTAGGCGCCCAGGCCAGGCAGGATCCCAATGCACACGGCTGCTGAGGGACAGTGGACCGTGGAGCCTCCCACTGAGCTGCTCCCCAGGGGAACACAGGATGGTTTTTCTGAAAGAGAGGTACCTCAGTCAAAAACGAGAACGCAGGAAAGGGCTTTTAATCAGCCCAGGAACTGCCACGTGTCATTCACCTGCTACTGCCACATCAGCGGTGGATGATTGCAGGGTTTAATTAAAGCATAAGGCAGCTTTATGCTGCAATAAAGCTATTCTGACAGGAAGGACTTGCTACCTCAGGGGATTTTTTTTTTTTCCTCATCACTAGTTTAAGCCCAGCTCTATGCTGGCATTACAGATTTTTATTCTAAAGTTGTCAGTTTGATGCTTGTCAAATACCAAACCCACTAAATAAGAATAAATAGCTCTGCTTTGTGTAATTGGATATTTTTTTGTGATATAACAGCATAGTTGGGGAAAAGTTTTATTCCATCGCTCTGCTAGTCAACATCTCCCATCTTCCATGGCTAATTAATT